TAAATGCTGTGCCTCAGTATCCTCAGTTTGCACTCAGTACAAGGGACAGATTCTGTGCTTGAGAAAGGTTTCATGGTGACAGAGTTTTAGCATGAGTGGGGTGGGCTGGAGACAAATGAAATACCTGGACCTTTGCCTGAGAAATAGGCAAAGTCTGCAAGAACCAGATCTGAGACATGGAGCCAGAGTTTCACATCAGTGTCAAAGGCGACGGTGTAGGAAACCTACACCTTTTCCTTTGGGTCTCAGGTCTTGGTTACTAACCCTCTGCACGTTAGACCTCCTGGTGCCCAGGCCCCACCCTATCTTCAGGAGGCTTTTCTTGGTGGTCTCTGTTGCCACCTTGTGGCCACTCCACACTGGCTGTGGAGGCGCAGAGGGTCCTCTGTCCCTGAGTGGATTCACATTCACTGCTCAGGTCCTGATTTCCTGACCCACCGACTGCTGGCCCAGGGGAGGAATTACTCTTTTCTCTGTGACCCTACCTGTCTCGAACCAGACATGAAGGGCTCAGATTACCCATGGAAACCTGAACAGGATTGTTCAGAGGGAGAGATGCCCACTCCCACATGAAGCATCACTGCACATATGTCTGGGGTGGTGGGTGGTCATGTGTGGGGTTTGAGGGTTTGGAACCAGGGGACAGAGATCTCTGGTATCATTTTAGGGGTGCCCGCTGCTGATGGTAGATCAAATAAAATGGTGGCTACTAATGGTCCAAACATGGAGACAACAGTCACCCAACAAACGTTGATTTATACCCACTTCCATCCTGGGAAATCAGTGTAAAAGGACACAGCTCCTGTATCAGAGCTTCCATCATGCAGGTGGGGCAGCAAAGGGTCATAATTGTTTGGGTTACACCCCAGACTGTCCCCACCACCTTCTGCCAGTACCTTATCTTTCACATTCTTTTGAAAGCAGGACAACTTTTATTCTCAGCTACCTGTTGCCCTGTATTGACCTTGTGGTTTCGAGTTGGCGCTTGGGTGTGTCAATCAGCTCAGCTTTGGTGGAGAATCTTTTGCCTTGTGAAAGAAAGAAACAGATTGGATTTACGCAGCTCCTCTTGAATATGGCTGTGATAGCTGGAGCTACAGCAGCCATCCTGAGGTCTGTCTTCAACAAGAATGAAAGCAGAGCTTCCACAGTAGAGATGGAACAGAAAGTGAGAAAGATCCAGGACCTCATGGAATTGGTCAGTATCTGGAGGACACCATCTCATTCCAGACTTACTGTTGCAGGAGAAAAATAGGCTGCTGTCTGTTCATGCCTATGATTGTCATGTGAGTTTTACATTTAAAAAAATCTTGACTAATAAATAATGAACACAAACCAATCAATCAATAAAAATAATGACAGGGAAAAAAATCAGGCATGACACCTAATGTGCAGATTAGTATTTGAGATTAGACAAAAATGACAGGCAGGTTGGAGAGAGACTGCAGGAGGCCTCTTGCGAGAGGTGATAGTGGAGCTGCTGTCAGGATGGGAAGATGGAGCCAGTAATAGGAAGTGTGTTTGGGGAGAGCAGATTTGGTGCCCTGTGGGGAAGAGCCTGGTTTGTCTGAGGATGAAAGATAGTGATAAATTAAGTGGTTTATGACAGAAAACTAGTTCAGTTCCAATGTGATGTAAATCTATAATATTAAGGGATGTGTTACAGGGATGTGATGTCATGCTGAATACACACACCTGGCCCAGGAATCAGAGGAGCTGAAGGAGGGTCCAGGGGAAGGTGGAGCCATTGCAGTGTGGCCACTGCCCCGTGTC